GCCAAAGAACCCCAAGAAGGCGGCTGCTGCCAAGAAGGCCGTCAAGAAGACCCCGAAGAAGGCCAAGAAGCCGGCCCCGGCGGCTGTGACCAAGAAGGTGGCCAAGAGCCCGAAGAAGGCGAAGGCTGCCAAGCCCAAGAAGGCCGCCAAGAGCCCGGCCAAGGCCGTCAAGCCCAAGGCCGCGAAGCCCAAGTCCGTCAAGGCCGCCGAAGGAGTGGGCGTAGCCCCGCCGCTCCCCCCAACGGCTCTTTTCAGAGCCACCACTTCTTCCGGAGAGAGCTGCGCGCTTGTCCTGCCCGCTTCCTGCCTGCCTGGCGCGGGCGCTGCTGCCTCCGTCCTTGGTTAACCCGCGTACGCGCGGTGCCGCGCAGCCCTGTCCGGCGCCGGGCGGGGCCTTGAACCCGCGGCGGGGCGTGTCCCGTTTTTTTTTCGGGGGGCGGGGTCCGCCGGGCTGTTGCCTGGGGCGGCCCCGCCCCGGCGAGCGTCTCTCACAGCGCACCCGCCCCCGGCGCGTCATTGGACAAGGGGCGTTCGAAAGTCCCGCCCTGCGCCCTGGTTGGCCGCCGTCCGCGCTGGCGGCCTGGGGTGGGTGGGCCGGGTGCGTGCGGTTACGGTGCGTTCGCTGTTTACTCACTTCCCTGGGTGTGGACCGGGGCCTGGCGCTTCATCGCTGGAGGCATCACGGGTGGTCGAGGTGGGGTCGGCGGAGCCAGCCCTGAGGTGCGGACCGTGCAGGGACTTGTCCTGCATTTGCAGCTCCCGGGGCCGCCCAAAGGGGCGCCTGAAACGCCGCAGCGCGTGCCTGACTCCTGCTCCAGGACGTGGGGGCTTGGGGTCTGGCCCCGGTGTCCCACCCATCTTCCCCGAGGCGCGAGGGTTTGAGCGCAGTGGAGACGACTTCGCAGCCATCTTGTCCCGGCGCGACGTCTCCGAGCTTCCCCTCGGTCAACTTTTCAACCCTTCACAGTTGCTTAAACGCGTTTTTCTGTAGCCGAAACGTTTTTACGCGAAAGAGTGATCGGCCAGCTGCGGGAGGTACGTGCGTGGGTGGCGGGCGTATTTCTAATAAAAGCCTTCAGTTTCACTACTTTCTCTGGGTTTTTATTGGGGCCACGGCGGGTTTTGTTTCGTTTTGCTTTGTTTTTGCCTTTTTCCCCTGGGCATAAGAACGCGCAGCGTCCTGTTTTTTACTCTGGAAACGTCTGGAGACCTGCGGCTCAGACCCTCCTTTTCACAGGGTGGGCCCGGTGCCAGTTGATTTATGAGAGGGACCCGTGGGCGGAGTTCCTGAAGGGAGGATGTCAGTGGGGCCGGGAAGAGGAAAGTAGCGACTGATCTGTTTTCTGGCCAACTTTTTTTTACTTCCTAGTATAGAGCCAATGCGCTTTCCGTAGGCAGGGAGAGCGAGGAAGTAAAAAATGCGCTCCCCAGGAGCCGGCAGGCGGTGTGGTGGAGGTGGTTAGGCTGGACTCTGGCAGGGCTGACTGGGGAGCGGGGTGAGCCTTGGAAATCACTGGGTGCTCGTTCGTGTGTGCCCAAAATCCAGGGAGGAAAATGTAGAAGTTCCGTTACATCCTGGGTGAGGATTTCTGGCTTTCTGCCTCTCTTAGGAACTCTAGCAAAAGCGTCAGAAAAAAAAGAAAGAACGAGAAAAAGAAAGTACTCACCATGGGTGATGGCCGTGCTGCAATCTTCACTCCATTTCTCCTCCTCTGGGATTTTGGGCTCACACACGCAGCTGGTGTTTTTCAGCCTTCCTGGTATGGGACTTGATTTGCACAGTAGGCCATGTGGGATCCAGCTGCCTTCTCCATACCATGGACTGGCTCCTCGTTCAGTAGTTTTGCTGTTACTTTTATAGTCAATAACTGAGCTCTCTGTATCCTGGTGTGAGATTTAATAATATGTGGACCCATGTTTTCCCCCCAATACCAATTTAGGAACTTCAGTTTCTGTTCCTACCTCCTCTGTATTTAACTCTCTATATTAAAAAGTTATTCAATAAAATCAGTTGAAGGTATAATCTACAGCATTTTCTGTTTCTGATACTAATCTTTGCAATCTCACGTGTAATTTACACTCAGCGCATCCCATATGGTAGCCCACTTCAAGTGCTCACTTAACCCGGCGTGGCTTTGGGAGTGGACCGTGAGCACTAG